AACCGCGAAGAGAGTGAAACCTTGAACACACCTGTAACAACCAAGGAAATTGAAGATGTAATCAAGAAACTCTCAACAAACAAAACCCCAAGCTCTGATGGCTTCATAGAGGAGTTTTACCATTCAAACAAGATCTAACACCCATTCTCCTCAAACTATTCCAAAAAACTCAAGAAGGAAGACTTCCAAACTCGTTTTAAGAGGCCAGCATAGTTCTAATAAAGACACTACAAAGAAAGAAAACTACCAGCCAATACCCCTGATGAACATAGATGCCAAAATCCTGAACAAAATATTAGCAAATCAGATCCAGCAATACATTAAAAAAATTATTTTCCATGACCAAGTGGGATTCATTCCAGGGATGCAAGGCTGGTGGAATATTCTCAGATCAATAAATGTAATACACCACATAAACAAAATGAAAGATAAAAACTATATAATCGTATCAATGGATGCTGAAAAGGATTTGACAGAATCCAGCACCTATTTCTGATAAAAACACTCAGCAATGTGGAAATAGAGGGATCATATCTTGACACCTACAGCCAACATCATACTCAATGGGCAAAAACTAAAAGCATTTCCCTTAACAGGAACAAGACAGGAATGCCCACTTTCACCACTCTCCATCCACATACATAGTCACTGCCCGAAGTGGCCTTGCTTCTACAGTTTTATTTCTACTGTTAAAGAGACCATTTCAGTTTCCTTCTCAGATGCCCTGTATAACATTGTAAGCCTAATTCAGGCACTCAGAAACACCTAGATTTGCCTTGTTGTTTCTTCAAACGATTATAAGACTTAAGAGCAAAACATAACAGACTTGATTCCCCTTCCTTCGCTGCCGCTTCACCCTCTCTCCAGATGTTAAAACAAGAAGGGCTCATCCGGCCGGTGTGGCTCACTGGTTGAGCGTCGACCATGCACCAAGAGGTTGCCGGTTCGATTCCTGGTCAGGACGCATGCCCAGGTTGTGGACCCCAATCCCCACTGAGGGGCATGCAGGAGGTGGCCAATCGATGTTCTCACTTATTGATGTTTCTATCTCTCTCCTCCTCTCCCGTCTTCTTTTCTAAAATCAATAAAGGAAAAAAATAAAAAATAAAACAAGAGGGGCTCTTATGGCTTAGGCCTGGCTCCTTTTTATTTATTTATTTATTAATTAATTTATTTTTTATTAATTAATTTTTGTTACAGATGTTTCTCCCTTTTCCCCCCTCTGATTCCCCCTTCCCCCTTTCCCCCAGCCCTGTCCCCAGTTTGTTGTCCATGTCCACTGTTCATGCATACATGCATATAAGTTCTGCGGTTTATCTCTCCCCCACTACCCCCTCTTCTGGGGATTGTCAGTCTGTACCCCACTTCCACATCTCTGGGACTACCCCATTCCTCAGACTATTATGTTCATTATATTCTACAAATAAATGAGATCATATGATACTTGTCTTCCTCTGTTTCGCTTGTTTCACTTAGGATGATAGTGAAGATCCCTCCATGTAGTCTCAAAGGACAAGAGATCTTTCTTACAACTGTGTAGTACTGCATTGTGTATATGTACCCCTGCTTTTTTATCCATTTGTATGCTAATGGACACTTGGGCTGTTTCCACATCTTAGCTATTGTAAATAGTGCTGCTACAAACATGGGGGTACATATATTCTTTCTGATTGGTGTTTCAGGCTTCCTAGGCTATATTCCTAGAAGTGGGATCACTGGGTCAAATGGCAGTTCAATTTTTAATTTTTTGAGGTAACACCATATTGTTTTCCATAGTGGCTGCACCAGTCTGCATTCCCACCAGCAGTGTACTAGAGTGCCCCTTTCTCCACACCCTTGCCAACACTTGTTGTTTGATGAGTTGTTGATGGCGGCCATTCTGACAGGTGTGAGGTGATACCTCATTGTTGTTTTGATTTGCATCTCTCTGATGATTAGTGATGATGAGCATTTCTTCATATGTCTCTTAGCCATTTGTATGTCCTGTTTAGAGAGGTGTCTATTTAGTTCCTCTGCCCATTTTTTAATTGGGTTCTTTGTCTTCCTTGTGTGGAGTTGTATGAGCACTCTCTATATATTGGAAATTAACCCATTATCTGATATACCATTGGCAATGATGCTCTCCCATACAGTGGGTAGCCTTTCCATTTTGATGATTGTATCTTTCGCTGTGCAGAAGCTTTTGAGTTTGATGTAGTCCCATGTGTTCATTTTCTCCTTTGTTTCTATTGCCTTGGGTGAGGTATCAGTGAAAATTCTGCTGCGTATGATGTCTGAAATTTTGTTGCCTACAGTTTCTTCTAGGATTTTTATGGATTCATGAGTCACATTTAATTCTTTTATCCATTTTGAGTTTATTCTTATGTAGGGTGTAAGTTGATGGTCTAGTTTCATTTTTCTGCATGGAGCTGTCCAATTTTCCCAGCAGCATTATTAAAGAGGCTATCTTTACTCCACTATATGCTCTTCCCACCTTTGTCAAATATTAATTGAGCATATTGCCTTGGGTCCATTTCTGGGTTCTCTGTTCTGTTCCACTGGTCTATATGCCTGCTCTTGTGCCAGTACCAGGCTGTTTTGATTATGGTGGCTTTGTAGTATAACGTGAAATCTGGTAACGTGATCTCTCCAACTTTGTTCTTCCTTTTCAAGATTGCTGTGGCTATTCGAGGTCTTTTTTGGTTCCATATGAACTTTTGAAGTACTTGTTCTAATTCTGTGAAGTATGCCGTTGGTATTTTGATGGGGATTGCATTGAATCTATAGATTGCTTTGGGTAATATGGACGTTTTAATGATGTTAATTCTCCCAATCCATGAATAGGGTATGTGCTTCCACTTTTTTATATCTTCTTTTATTTCTTTTTTCAATGACCTATAGTTTTGTGTGAATAGGTCCTTTATTTCTTTGGTTAAGTTTATTCCTAGGTATTTTAATTTTTTTTGCCGCAATGGTAAATGGGATTGTTTTCTTAGTTTCTCTTTCTGTGAGTTCATTCTTGGTGTCTAAGAATGCCATCGATTTCTTGATATTAATTTTGTATCCTGCTACTTTGCCAAATTCGTTTATTAAGTCTACTAAATTTTTGATGGAGTCTTTGGGGTTTTCTACGTATAGTATCATGTCATCTGCAAATAATGACAGTTTTACTTTCTCCTTTCCAATTTGGATCCCTTTTATTTTTTCTTCCTGGCTAAGACTTCTAGTACCATGTTAAATAAGAGTGGTGAAAGTGGGCATCCTTGCCTTCTTCCTGTTCTTAAGGAAAATGCTTTTAGTTTTTGCCCATTGAGTATGATGTTGGTTGTAGGTTTTTCATATATGGCTTTTATTATGTTGAGATATGATCCCTCTATTTCCACATTGCTGAGCGTTTTTTATCAGAAATGGATGCTGGATTTTGTCGAAGGCTTTTTTGGCATCTATTCATATGATCGTGTGGTTTTTATTCTTCATTTTATTTATGTGGTGTATCACGTTTATTGATTTGTGAATATTGTACCAGCCTTGCATCCCTGGGATGAATCCCACTGGGTCATGGTGGATAATTTTTTTTGTGTATTGCTAGAGCCGATTTGCTAGTATTTTGTTCAGTATTTTGGCGTCTGTGTTCATCAGGGATATCGTCCTGTAGTTTTCTTTCTTTGTAGTGTCTTTTTCTGGTTTTGGAATTAGAATTATGCTGGCTTCAGAAAACGAGTTTGGAAGTCTTCCTTGTTCGTGAATTTTTTGGAATAGTTTGAGGAGAATGGGTGTTAGTTCTTCTTTGAATATTTGGTAAAACTACCCCGTGAAGCCATCCAGGCCTGGGCTTTTGTTTGCTGGGAGAGGCTTGATTATATCTTCAATTTCTTCTGTTGATATTGGTCTGTTCAAGTTTTCTATCTCTTCCTTTCTATCTCTTCCTCCATTTTGGGAGACTAGGTGTTTCTAGAAATTTGTCCATTTTGCTTAGATTGTCGAATTTGTTGCTATAGAATTGTTCATAACAGTTGTTAACGATCTTTTGCATTTCTGTGGTGTCAGTTGTTACTTCTCCTCTTTCATTTCTGATTTTGTGTATTTGGGTTCTCTCTCTTTGTTTCTTGGTGAGTCTAGCTAAGGGTCCATCAATCTTGTTTATCTTTTCGAAAAACCAGGTCTTTGTTTCATTGATCCTTTGAATTGTTTTTTTGGTCTCTATGTCATTTATTTCTGCTCTGATCTTTACTATTTCCTTTCTTCTACTTGCTCTGGGGTTTTCTTTTTGTTTGCTCTCTAGTTCTTTAAGTTGTGAGATTAGATAGTTTATTAGAGATTTTTCTTGTTTTTTGAGGTAGGCCTGTAGTGCTATGAACTTCCCTCTCAGAACCGCTTTTGCTGCATCCCATAGATTTTGTATTGTTGTGTGTTCATTTTCATTGGCTTCCATGAAGTTTTGATTTCTTTGTTGATCTCCTCGATGACCCATTCATTGTTTAATAACATGCTATTTAGCTTCCATGTGTTCAAATGTCTTTGTATGTTCTTCTTGCAATTGATTTCAGTCTTCTTGAACTTGTAGAGACTTAATGTGTGCCCTAACATGTGGTCTATCTTTGAGAATGTCCCATGTGCACTTGAGAAGAATGTGAATTCTGTAGTTTTAGGGTGTAATTCTCTATAGATATCTATTAAATCCTTTTGGTTTAGTGCTTCATTTAGAGTTTCTGTTTCCTTGGTAATTTTTTGTCTAGAGGATCTATCCAGTGATGTGAGCGGGGTGTTGAAGTCCCCTGCTATAATTGTATTGCTATCGATTTCTCCTTTGAAGTCCTCCAGAAGATTTTTTTTTTTTTCTTACCCTGAGACATTTATTAAGAAAGGGTCATCTGAAGTCTAGTACATGAAACATCTTTGGGGATATGCATTATTTGAATAGAAAGTAGAGCACGTCTAACATTGTAGAAACCCAAGCCCCTGAATAGTAATGACTCTCTGGTAACAGGCATATGCCTGCAGCACACGCCCAGCGTGACACATTAGAGGACACTAAGTTCTCCCTGGCAATTATTGCAGCAATTGAAAGTTATATCTTCATATCTAGTGTAGGGATGGAATCGCCCAATGTTTTTCTTTGTAGCAAGTAAGGTGGTTGGTGAAGACGCAGAAAATGGATTGTCAGCTGAGCTCTCTGTACAGGTAACCGGGGCCAAAATGCGTAGAACCGTTTCAGCCATTTTTTCCGCTGGGGTGCTGCAGAATTCAGCTGTTGGCAAAATCTTTTTCTGACTGTTGGTTCCAACATTTCCCAGAAGATGAGAATATACTGCTTTTGCCAACTTGTGGTTTGTTGCTGCCAGTTCTGCTGTGCTGTGAGGCTGTGTGCTAGGGTAGTAAGTTTGCTCTCGGCCCCACTGCAAGGAGACCAGGAGCCCCTCCAATAATTTGTGGGTGGCGCTCAGTTCCTGGCGAAGCTGTTCCCGCTCACTCAGCAGGCCCTGCAGTGCGCCCTGGCTGTCCCGGTGCTGCCGCAGCAGAGCGGCCCTGGAGCTGGTCAGCTTGTCTGCCATGACCCTGCTTGCGAGGAATTTGCTTCGCCATACATCACACTGTATTGACATTCGTTCTAACTGCTCCGCAAGCTGAGCTGTGTTCTGACTTAGGGCTACATTTTCTAAAATAAGCTGGTTTTTCTCACGGGCCAGACGTTCGAAGTGATAGGGAAGATCGTCGCCAACTGAAGCCACCAGGAGCTTCTTCAACTCCCGATTGACCTCCGTCTGCACGCGGAGCTGGTTGGAAAGACCCTCCCTGCCCTGCAGTAACCTCCTCTCGGAGCTCTGGAGCTTCTCCAGCATGCTCTTCGCCTCTGCGGCCCCCTCCGACTGGCCAGGGAGCTCTCCTGTAGGACGACCCACAGGCTTCACCTTGGCGGTTTTGTTGGGGACCACGTGGGTGATAGCAGCCTTGGGAACTATTATCCTCATAGCTTCGACCTCCACTGCTTTTTCCGTGGGAAGCTTCCCCAGCTGCAGGACGCCCGGGCTCTGGGATGTGACGGCTTTCTTTCGTGGGCTCTAAAGGACCTGGGGCTTCCGAGGCTGGGCTCCAGGGGCAACTTCAACAGGCTTGGATGGCTCCTCGGTTTCCATTCCATCTCCTGCTCCCCGGACTGGGGTGGAAGTCAGGATGACTTTAGTTTCTAAATTCTCAAGAGTAGTCATTTTTTAACCAATGAAAATGCACCCCAAGACTTCTACTGAAAAACCTCTGCGACGCTCACTCCCTGCTCCGGGGGCTATCCTCTCCAGGCGGGTCAGCTCGGAATCAGCGATTCACTTCCCCGCCCAGGCCCCTTGCATCCGAGCCGCCCTGCCCCAGCCTCTCCTCCAGAAGATTTTTAATGTATTTTGGTGCTCCTATATTGGGTGCATATTGTTTATCAAGGTTATATCTTCCTGTTGGATAGATCCTTTCAATATTATGTAGTGGCCTTCTTTGTCTCTAGTTATGGCCTTCATTTTGAAGTCTATTTTATCAGATATGAGTATTGCTACCCCAGCTTTTTTTTTCTTTCTGTTTGCTTGGAAGATTTTTTCCCATCCGTTCACTTTCAATCTATGAGTCTTTTGTTGTGAGGTGGGTCTCTTGTAAACAACATATAGATGGGTCATGCTTTCTTATGCAATCAGCTACTCTGTGTCTTTTTATGGGAGCATTCTATCCATTTACATTTAAGGTGATTATTGATATGTACTTATTTATTGCCATTTTTTTTTAGTGTGGTTCTATTTTTCTTCCCATTTCTCCTTCTAATTACAGCAGTCCTTTTACCATTTCTTCCAGTGCTGGTTTGATGCTAATGTATTCCCTTAGCCTGTTTTTTGTCTGGGAAGCTCTTTATTTGACCTTCCATTCTGAATGATAGCCTTGCTGGGTAGAGTAGTCTGGAATTCAGATCCCTGTTTTTCATGACCTTGATTACTTCATGCCATTCCCTTCAGGCCTGTAGTGCTTTTTGTGAGCAGTCAGCTGAGAGCCTTATGGGGTTTCCTTTGTAGGTAACTTGTTGCTTATATCTTGCTGCTTTTAGGATTCTCTCTTTGTCTTTAATTTTTGGCAGTTTGAATACTATGTGTCTTGGTGTGGGCCTGTTTGGGTTCTTCTTACTTGGGGCACTCTGTGCTTCTTGAACTTGAATGCCTTCTTTCTTCACCAAATTAGGAAAGTTTTCTGTCACTATTTCTTTGAATATATTTTCTAACCCTTGCTCATTTTCTTCTTCTTCGGGGACTCCTATGATGCGAATATTATTATGTTTCCAGTTGCCCCACAGTTGTCTTAAGCTGTCTTCCTGTTTTTTAATAGTTTTTTCCTTTTGGTTTTCTGATTGATTGATTCTTTCTACCCTGTCTTCTAATTCACTGATTCGGTTCTCAGCTTCCTCTACTCTGCTTTTTAGCCCTTCCGGTGTGTTTTTTGTTTCTGATATGTCTTTTTTAATTTCCAACTGGTTGATTTTCAACATTTATATGTCTTTGCTCATGGTGCTCATGTCCTTACACATGCTGTTGAGCTTCCTCAAGATCATGGCTCTGAATTCTAGTTATGTTAACTTGCTTAACTGCACCTCCTTTATCTCATCTTCGATAGAGGTCTCTTGTTCTTTCATTTGGGTTTTGTTTCTGTGTTTCACCATTTTGGCTATCACAGTGGGCTTTGGAGTCTGCCAAGTTTCCCCGTTGGGTGTTGGTATTCTGCTGTTTGTGGCTCCCTCTCCTGGGTTTGGATGAGGCAGGGAGGACCCACTTTAACCACCACTGTCAAGCCTTAACTTTCCTCTAGCTTTTTTTGCCTAGAGGCTATTAGTAGAGGTCACCTGAAGAACCTTGGTTTCTGAGTTGCCTGAAAACCTCCCTCAGATGCTCAGTGTAAGAGGATTTCCTGAGGGTGGAGCAGATGCTGGTTGTTAATGGGCCTCAGTTAGTATTTCAATGGCCACCAGGTGGTGTTGAATCTCCGAGGGAGGGGCCACCGCCTCTCCCCAGGGCCCTGGGATGGAGTAAGATGACCCAGTCCTGTGTGGCTGCATTCAGCAAAACTCTGAGCACCCTCCAAATCCCGAGTGTCCCCACATAGCTGCAGTCCAGTCTGCCTTCCCTCTGCCGGAGCCCAAGGTGAGTGGCTGCTGCCAATTTAGCCTCTGTCCAGACTCTGCGTCCTCGAGCTGCCTGGGACTTTTTTTTTTTTTTTTTTTTTTTTATCCTCACCCGAGGATATTTTTCCATTTTTTGTACAGATAGAGTGGGAGGGAGAGAGAGAGAGAAACATCGATGTGAAGGGACACATCGAGTGGCTGCCACCCGCATGACCAACCAGGGCCGGGGACAAACTGCAACCGAAGTACGTGCCCTTAGCGGGAACCGAACCCGGGTCTCTCCGGACCGCAGGCCGATGCTCTAACCGCTGAGCCAAACTGGCCAGGGCTGCCTGGGACTTTTAACCTGAGGTTAATGCTCCCAGCTAAGGGCGGCAGAGTCTGGGAGCCTGTGGCACCAATTGAGGGCGTGGCACCCAGTCCAGGTGGCAGCAGCTTCCAGCCCAGTCCCCTGTGCCCAGCCAAGTCCGCTGGTCCCAGCCCAGGCTGCTTTGGACCGTGGGCTCCGGGCCCCATCTCGCGTCCTCGCAAGCCTATCAGGATTGAGTCAGTGTCCCTGGTTATGTCATCCTCCAGGCTGCCTTTCGGTTCCCCCTTCCTGACGATTTGTCTTTATTTTCGTTGTAAATCCAGTTTGGTCCTGGGAGATGATCTGTGTAGCTCCATTCACTCCGCCGCCATTTTTTTTTCGACCTAGCCCCTTCTTTTCTCTCTCTCTCCCCCCCTTTTCCTCCTCCTCCTCCCCGTTTTCTTCCTCCCCCTCCCCAGGTCATTGTATCCATACCCATGATATATTCTGTTTGTGTGTCACAGACTCTGAAATTTCTCTCAGTGATGTTTCCTTTGTGCTGCAGACCTGCAAGCACGTTGCCTACATGGCATCCTCTGAGACATCTCCGAAAGAAAACATCCACAGTCAGCCTTATAATCATTTTTCACTAACCTCTTCCTCCTGGTGTACCCTGTCTCAGAAGGTGTCACTCGTCCAGCTGCATGACCTGGAAGTCTGGGGTCTCCCACAGCAGCCACCTTTTGTGGGTTTTGTGGTCATAAGAATCTCTGGAATGTGAGTGCCAGTCTCCACTGCCAAACACTGGTCTTTTATTAAGACTGCTTCATAATCTCCTAATGCCTCTTCCCATCTGCCATGCTCCCTTCCAGCCCCTCTCCCCTCGGCAGCCAGAGTTGTCACTGCCCTCCTCCACACTTTGTCTCCAGTGATGAGTACAGAGCCTGGTACATAGTGAGTGCTAGGTATTTAGACAAATAAAGTCCTCCTGTTTGACCATACCTGTCATTTATCTGTTCTCATCCTGTGGTCTTTTTTTGTCAGCTCTGGCATTATCTTGTTCTTCTACTTCCACATGCATGTTATTTAACAAACTTCTCTAAATCAATCTGTTAATTACCTTCTTTCTCAAGAGCTTCCTAAAGTACAGCCTCCTCCCAGAGCCCTAATGATGTAACAGGTGTGGATTCTTTCCTATTTTTAACTTTTCCTGTCCCGTTTATGAGCATTGACATTAACTGAAAATAATCTATATTTTGTTGTGTATTTTGCTTTCTGTACATGCCTTTTTAGAAATATCCTATTTTAAGAATATACAGGCATTAAAACCTTGAATAATTTTAACACTATATAGATTTCACCTGTGTTAGCAAGTTTTTACAAAAGTATGGATGATTAACTTGTTTCTGACGCAGCAGTTCCAATTTGTAAATGATAAACTGTAGAAAAAGAATTCCACAGTTCAGAGACGTATAATAAATAGATTTTTTTATTTTATCCTCACCCGAGGATATTTTTCCATTTTTTGTACAGATAGAGTAGGAAGGAGAGAGAGAGAAACATCGATGCAAAGGGACACATCGAGTGGCTGCCACCCGCACGACCAACCAGGGCCGGGGACAAACTGCAACCGAAGCACGTGCCCTTAGCGGGAACCGAACCCGGGTCTCTCCGGACCACAGGCTGACGCTCTAACCGCTGAGCCAAGATTTTTACCAATGGAAACTTTAAAAGGCATTCCATACCTTGTTACCCAACTCAAGCGATGCGCTTTGTGGGTATTTCTGATGTATGTCCTCAAACTAAATTGTGCCAGTTTATGAATCCTATTTTATTTTCTATCTTCACCTGTAATTATTTAATTAAAAATGGGTTTATCAACTAACCCATTTTAATTAAAACATGTGGTTTATCAAACCAGTGAGATACTACTTCACACTGAAATAGCTAGACACAAAAGGAAAAATACTATATGATTCTACCTATATAAGGTACTGAGAGAAATCAGATTCATGGAGACAAAGTAGAAGGATGGTTACCAGGGGCTGGGGTAGGGAAATGGTGTGTTGTACAGAGTTTCAATTTGGGAAGGTGAAAAAGTTCTGGAGGTAGAGATGGACAGTGATGATCTCATAGCAATGTGAATATACTTAATGCCACAGAAACTTACACTTCAAAAAAGGTTAAATGGTAAATTTTATACTACCCCAATAGAAAAAAAAGATTTATCAACACTGCAAGTAGATCTACAAAAACCTCAAAATAAAAAGTTTAATTAAAAAACTACAGATAGAAAAAATAGATTTATTTGTTCACATTCTTTGTTCTGCTTATTGGAACATTTGTTGTTTGTTGCATTTGTGTCGGTATCATAGTTGATATAGTGAAAAATTAATCTAAGACTCTAGATTTTGTTCCTGCATTGGAGTCTTTTAAGATCCAGCTACATCCACACAGTCCAGTTACAGAATGTGTACATTATACATCAGACTATTTGAGCCTTTTGACTTTTTAAAAATAAGTATGGTCAGATAATAAATCTCTGTTTAAAGGCTATGAAGTGTAATTAAACAATTTTAGAATTTCTTTATGTATGCTAATATGTGAAAGAAAACAAGTCAAGTTGCTTAGCTCTGACATTTTTTTGTTTTCTAGGTATACCTTGAAAGACTTCTAACATATGCAGAGATAGATATCTGTCCAGCCAACTGGAAACGAATTGTACTCGGGGCAATCCTGCTGGCCTCCAAGGTGTGGGATGACCAGGCTGTGTGGAATGTGGATTACTGCCAGATCCTGAAAGATATCACGGTGGAGGACATGTGAGTGTGTGTGTGTATGTGTGTGAGAGTGTATGTATGTTGGAAGGGGGAGCAGGGTATAGTCAGTGCAACTGTTTGGGAAGGAGAGTGTGTCCTTTTTGAAGGCTCTTTATTATACAGAATGAATGAATTTGACTGAATATCTGTTGGGAGCTGATTTATAATGAGGGCACAGTTATGGAATATTACATGCAATAACCTGTATTTCTCTTTGTTGTGGATCATTAATAGGTACTGGCAAAACTTTGTTTTGTGGAACTGGTTTAGTGAAACTATATTATAATCAAGTCTTCCTTTACCTTCATTAGAAAGGTGTAGACCAGGGCCTTCCATAGGCTGGCAGTTTACATCCCAGCTGTATCTCACTGCAGGCTGTAACACAAAGTTAATGTCCTGCACCAATCTTTTGTAGGCAACAGCCTACCCCAAAATCAGAAGAGCTAAAATATTATTTATTTTTAGTTTCAAAGAGAAAACTTTCACTGCTTTGTCATTCTTACAAGTTCAGTTGCTTGAAATAGGCATTCTGTCCCTGAAGCTCCACATGGATCTCATTGTTAGGGCTGCATGTTCTCCCCAGCTGGGCTCAAGTGCCCACAGCTCAGTGGAAGTGCCATAAACCCTGGGGGGGGGAGGAGAGGGCTGTTCAACACATAGCTCTCAGGGCAGCCTTAGGATTTCTCATATGGTTCAGTCCTCAGATTTAGTTGAGGACTGTTAGGAGACCTGCAGCCCTGTGCCCTGAGATGTCTGGGGTCTGGGAATGCATGAAATAGGTTTAGAGCCTGTTAGGAGGAAGGAACTATTTTGGGAAACAATCAAGATGAGCTACTTATCGTTGATTATGGTTTATAGCAGGGGTGGGGAACATCCAGCCCATAAACCATATAAGCCTTAAGGAATCATTTGCTGTGGCTCTGCCAAGATAATCACAGGCAGGATTTGAAATTCAATAAATCTAGGAGCTTTTTTTCATAGCAACATAAATTTATATTAAGTGAATCATAATAATAATGTAAATTTGGGGGGACTAGCAAGGAACATCCATTACAGTATAGACAGGAAACATGTGAGTACATGACGGGACAGACACATATGCTTCTTGTTGGCTGCCTGTGGTCCGTTTGCCTGTATTGTGATCTAGCAATGAGCTGATTCCTCAAGATGTGGGTGACCTTCCATTGATGACCTTGCCTCTGATGATTGGCAACAATGTTGTCAACTTCTTGGTTGACGCAGATAATAACTAATCCAGCCTTTAGCCACACATCCACAATCAACAATCCTCACAAAAACTGAATTTCAGATGAAGATTAAGGAAATTAGAGTCCACAGAAAAGACCTCAAGAGTCGATGATAATGAATGTTGGATAAGTTCCAAATCCAAGATGTAGTCCCTAAAAATGGGGACTACAAAGAAAAATTGATGTAGAGTGTCGATCTTTCCAAGAGAAATGGAAAAATGATTATATTTTTGTCGAAGTCAAAGGCAAACCTGTGTGCCTTGTTTGTGGTGATGCATTAGTAGTAATGAAAAACGCCAATCTGGGGTGTCATTATAGTTTAAAACTCAATGAATTGGGAGGCCAGATGCATCTGGATAAAATCAGTGCTTTTCAGTGGAGATTGGAATCACAACAAGCTGGTTTCACTGGGTCTCCTTCTGACAGAAACAGTGTTATTCAGACAAGTTATTTAATGAGCAAACTAATCACAAAGAATCTGAGGCCTCATGTAGAGGAAGGGTTTGTGAAAGAGTGCATGGTGGCTGCAGTGGAGTTGTTAGCATCAGACAAAGTAAAATTTTTTCTGAGTGCTAGTTTGTCTCAGAGAACCACCTCAGAATGAATTATTGACTTAGCACAAGAAATTGAAACAACACTGAAGGATTTCCAATTTTTATCTCTGGCTTGGAACAAGACAATGGACATAAATACTGGCCTACTGGCCATTTTTATTTGTGGGATAACTGCAGAATTTGACATGTGAGAGGAACTGCTGTCACTGGAAGCCATGCATGGCACTACAAGAGGTGAGGACTTGTTTTATTAATAAGAAAAACTTGAGCTAACATTTGAAAAGTTAAGTGGCCTCACTACAGATGGAACTCCAGCTATGGTTGGCTCTCAAAAAGGATTGATTGCTTTTGTCAAGAAAGAACTAAATCGTCTCAATTAATTAATTTATGTTACAGATAGTTCTTTTTTCCCCCATTAATACCCTCCTCCCAATCCTGCCCACCCCCACAGCATTGTTGTGTGTGTCCTTGTTTACACATACATGTGTAAAAGTTCTGTGGTTTATCTCTTCCCTCCCTCCACACCCACCTCTTCTGAGATTTGTCAGTCTGCACCCCACGTCCATGTCTCTGGATCTATTTTGTTCGTAAGTTTCTTTTGTTTATTATATTCCACAAATAAGTGAGATCATGTGATAAATGTCTTTCTCTGATTGGCTTTTTTTGCTTGGGATAATACTCTCCAGGTCCTTCCATTTCATCTCAAAGGATAAGAGATCTTTCTCTCTTACAGCTACATAGTATTTTATTGTGTATATATACCACAGCTTTTTTATCCACTCATCTATTGATGGATACTTGGGCTGTTTCGAGATCTTAGTGACTATAAATAGTGCTGCTATGAACATGGGGGTATATATATTCTTTCTGATTGGTGTTTCAGGCTTCTTAGGATATATTCCTAGAAGTGGAATCACTGGATCAAATGGCAGTTCAATTTTTAATTTTTTGAGGAAACACCATATTGTTTTCCATAGTGGCTGCGCCAGTCTGCATTCCCACCAGCAGTGTACTAGAGTCCCCTTTTCTCCACACTCTAACCAGCACTTGTTGTTTGATGATTTGTTGATGGCAGCCATTCTGGCAGATGTGAGGTGATACCTCATAGTTGTTTTAATTTGCATCTCTCTGATGATTAGTGATGTTGAGCATTTTTTCATATTGTCTCTTGGCCATTTGTATGTCCTGTTTGGAGAGGTGTCTATTTAGTTCCTCTACCCACTTTTTAATTGGGTTCTTTGTCTTCCTTTTGTTGAGTTGTATGAGCACTCTCTATATATTGGAAATTAACCCCTTATCTGATATATCATTGGTAATTATGCTCTCCCATACAGTGGGTTGCCTTTCTATTTTGATGGTTGTTTCTTTTGCTGTGCAGAAGCTTTTTATATTGATGTAGTTCCATGTGTTCATCTTTTCCTTTGTTTCTAGTGCCTTAGGTGTTGTATCAGTGAAAATTCTGCTGCGTGTGTTGTCCGAAATTTTGTTTCCTACATTTTCTTCTAGGATTTTTAATGGATTCATGGGTCACATGTAATTCTTTTATGCATTTTGAGTTTATTCTTGTGTATGGTGTAAACTAGTGGTCTAGCTTCATTTTTTTTTTCATGTAGCTGTCCAGTGTTCCCAACACCATTTATTGAAGAGGCTGTCTTTACTCCAGTGTATGCTCTTTCCACCTTTGTCAAATATTAATTGAGCATAATGTCCTGGGTTAATTTTTGGGTTCTCTGTTCTGTTCCATTGATCTATATGCCTGTTATGCCTGTTCTTGTGCCTGTACCACGCTGTTTTGATTACTATGGTTTGTAGTATAACCTGATATCCAGTATTGTGATCCCTCCTACTTTGTTCTTCTTCAAGATTGCTATAGCTATTTGGGGTCTTTTTTTTTTTTTTTTTAATCCTCACTCGAGGACATTTTTTGTTCAGATAGAGTGGGAGGGAGAGAGAGGGAAAGGGAGAAACATCGACGTGAAAGGTACACATCGAGTGGCTGCCACCTGCACGACCCAACCAGGGCTCCGGGGCAAACCGCAACCGAGGTACATGCCCTTAGCGAGAACCGAACCCGGGTCTTTCTGGACTGCAGGCCACTGCTCTAACTGCTGAGCCAAACCGGCCAGGGCTTTTTTGGTTCCATATGAACTTTTGGACTATTTGTTCTAGTTTTGTGAAATATGTCATTGGTATTTTGATGGGGATCACATTGAATCTATAGATTGCTTTGGGTAGTATGGGCATTTAAATGATGTTAATTTTTCCAATCCATGAACAAGGTATGTGCATCCATTTTTTTATATCTTCCACTATTTATTATTATTATTATTTTTTTTTTCAGTGACTTGTAATTTTCTGTGAATAGGTCCTTTACTTCTTTGGTTAAGTTTATTCCTAAGTATCTTAATTTTTTTGGCTGCATGGTAAATGGGGTTACTTTTTTAGTTTCTCTTTCATTGAGTTTGTTGTTAGTATGCAAGAATGCCGCCAATTTTTTATGTTAATTTTGTAGCCTGATACTTTGCCAAATTCATTTATTAGCTCTAATAGATTTTTTATGGAGTCTTTCAGGTGTTTTATGTACAGTATCATGTCACCTGCAAATAATGACAGTTTCACTTCCTCCTTTCCAATTTGGATTTCTTTTATGTGTTCTTCACGTCTAATTGCTGTGGGTAAGACTTCCAGTACTATTTTAAATAAGAGTGGCGAGAGTGAGCATCCCTGTCTGGTTCCTGTTCTCAAGAGAAATGCTTGTAGATTTTGCCCATTGAGTATGATGTTGGCTGTAGGTCTTTCATATATTGCCTTTATTATGTCAAGATATGATCCCTCTATTCTCACATTGCTGAGTGTTTTTACCAGAAATGGGTGCTGGATTTTGTTGAATGCTTTTTCAGCATCCATTGATATGATCATATGGTTTTTATCTTTTATTTTGCTTATATGGTATATCACATTTATTGATTTGCGGATATTGTACCATCCTTGCATCCCTGGGATGAATCCCACTTGGTCATAATGAATAATTTTTTTCATGTATTGCTAGATTTGATTTGCTAATATTTTGTTCAGAATTTTGTCATCTATGTTCATCATGGATAGTGGCCTTTAGTTTCTTTTTTCGTAATGTCTTTTTTGTTTTGTTTTGTTCTTGTTTTTTTCTTTATTGTTGAATGTATTACAGATGTTCCTCATTTAT